TACCCAAGTATAGGATTGGTGTATACGGAATAAATTTCAATAAAAACATACTATTCTTTTAAAAGTGCTGAATACAGAGTAGGGCAAATATAATTTATTCGAGAATTATAGCATAAATGTGTTATAAAATCACTACAAAAATAGCCATTTTATTTCAATACTTCTGGTGTCTTATCAAGTAATGGTACTGAATGTAGAATAAAGAGTTTTAAAAGGTTCATATTGACGAAACACCCCTTGCTATGACCAATCAAAATACAAGTATATGAAAATTCAAAAATGACCAATCAAAATACAAGTATATGAAAATTCAAAAATGACCAATCAAAATACAAGTATATGAGAATTCAAAAATGACCAATCAAAATCAAGTATATGAAAATTCAAAAAACTTAACAACGAACCTTGGTTATAATAATTAATGCTTTAATGTTAAGGTTAAACTAAAATAAAACTCATTCTGATTAATTTTAAATTTAACTATAAAATTGAAAATTAAAAATTACCAACTTAAAATTTTAAATTTAACTTGTATTAAGTTTAAAATGTTATAAAATTATTTAAAGAAGAAACTGAGGAAAAATACATATTTTGTTATTCATTTTGTTTTAATTGAAAGGCCAAAAACTCAGAATAAACATTAAAATCTAATGTGGATGTAAAGCTTCGTTATAAGTGGTGATATGTCCAGGGATGATGATGATGACGATATATATATATATATATATATATATATATATATATATATATATATATATATATATATATATATATATAAAGAAAGAAAAGTAAGATATAAAATCCGGTGTTCTTATAGATATTTTTATTTTTACAAAATAGTGCTCAATGTAAATTTATAGAGCATTAATATTATAAATTAATTGATTTAAAATATGTTTTTTTTCGCTACACAGTTCCAACCATGTTTCAAAAATAGAAGCCAAAAACCCCGAATTTAATTTTGCAATTAAATTAAAAGCATTAGTTCCATTTCATCTTCAAGCGAATATATATATATAACAGTGGACGTTGTGGTCAACACCGAGTGGCGACAGTCTGTTTCATGCTTGGACACAAAATTCAGGCATAGTCACTTTTAAATCCTCCATGATGCAATAATGGGTCAGTTAGTAGTGAAGAGAACAGGAGAATAAGGCAACCGAAAAAAAAATCTTTCGCTAGAGAAAACAAAATAGTCATAAATGGCTCAATAATTATTGACTGTATAGAGACTGAACGGAATCCATTTTCCCGTAGAAAGCACCGGGTATTCGAGCTTATCGTACTGGAGATCCGAGTAAGTTAATTTTATGGTTACGGTATTTTAGAGTTAATTTTGCTATCAGCCCCAGAGGGAAAGCCATATGTCTAAACGAACAGTGCAAGCGAAACGATTTGAAATGCTCGTTAGTTCAATTTGCGACAGACCCTGAGGAAATGCCCGCTCCAGCACCACGGTACGATCTTCCCGTGCACACGTTGTTTTGACCAGACTGCTTATTCGTAGAGCAAGATAAGCGATTTAAAGAGACACTAAAAACAATACTGCATAATTTGACCTTATAATACTCAAATTTTATCAGCTACAAACTAAATTTATATATCGGGCTGAGGAATAAACAATTACTTAAGAAAGCAGGAGAAACGACCATAAAAAAACAATGTTATATCAAATCCTCCTCAAATTTTGTGCGGAAAACATATTTTTATATCATTTTCCCCAAAGCAAGGCAATAAAGCAACTAAGACGCAAAGGGTTACTTATTTAAGAATACGAGAAAAAATTATTAAGGACAGAGAAAAATAAAAGACCTTTGGAACATATATAAAGTACGGATATAATCGTTATATACATTACGTGTTTCAGAAGCTCAAAACCAATATTTTTTTTAATAAAGAAAACGTTAAGTAAACAAAAACACTAGGAAACAAGACAAATTATGAAACAGTTTATAAACAAACACGAACAACGAAAATTTTGTTAATTTTAGAATATATCAGTGTTATAAGTTTTTTGTTTTGTTACTCTCCTCTTTGAGAAAACTATTTCTGTTTACTGTGACTATAAAAAGAACACTATACGCCAACCTTGTATTCTCAGATGAATAAAGTTTTTTTACATCTGCGTACTTTTGTCATTACAAACAGAAACAAAAAATGAAAATATAAATTGGGATTTAATCCTAAAGTATTCTGAGATTATGAAGTCATTACCTAATCTACAATAAAATAATTTATATCGCTTTTTGGCAGTACTAACACTTAAACTATCGACTGATAAAAACGAACTAGAGTAAAAAATGCAAAGTTGATAAGTATAATTTTAGGTAAGCAAAAACAGTAAAAAGTAAAAAATAAGACAAACTACCTTCAGGTTAGTTGTACAAAAACAAATAAATACTAATACAGAAAAAAAAGTCTACGTAAAATAGCTAAGAGATCAACTGAAAGTTTTTATAGAAATGATTAGAGACGCAATCTTACAGCCGTGGAAAAGTGACTGGAGCTGAGCTGCCAGATATGGACCAATAATATTGCTGATTCTTCTTTTTATTTTACCAAGGAGCTCAAGATAAATAGCATGTGTACTTGACCATATGTGGCAGCAGAATTATAAGCATAGGAGAACGTTAAATTTATAAATATGTCAGATAGATTCTGGGGAGAAAGATTGCATAGCACGACGCAGTGAACTACGCTAGTAACTTATTTAAATAACCTCTGAACTGATGCCAGGGATTGGCCCCGTATCTGGGGAAACAACTCCAAACAATGACATAGAAGTTTCAAATTGTGTGACTATTAATGTAGATATTATTATCTAAAATACTAACTTCATTAGTCTGCGAAAAGTAAAATGAAAACTATTTCATCTCAATTGTTAGCCTTTCCAATGTGACTCCTACTCGTAATGTCCAATATAGACTTTTGGTTTTTGATCGATATAATGGTGTTGCATTGTTGATCACCTTGCATCCTCTTTTGATTATTTATTATTAATTAATCCTCTTCCTAAAAACTTTTTTTCTTTATTTGGTATTTTGATATACGAAGGCAAGTTTAAGAATAAGACTTGGGAGGTGTCTCGAGGATGTATCTGACGTCCAAATCAGGTAAGGTAACTTGTGCTGAGTTCTTTGTCAAATGGAATTATGGGTGAAAAGAAGAAAGAAAGAAAAAATAAAGAAAACTGTGTCGAGATTATAAAACATTGTCAGAACGAAAAGAAACAATGAATGAAAAAAAGAAGAATTGTCAAAAATAGAAGAAATTTTCAAGATGAATAGAAAGAAAGACAACATTGTTAAGAATAAAATACAAAAAAAGAAAGGAAAAAAAGACAGAAAGAAAAAGGAAAACAGTAGAAAGAAAGGGTTGTCAAGACTAGACGAAAATGTTAAGATAAATAGAAGGAAAGAGAAAAAGAGAGAAAAGAAACATTGTCAAGACTTGAAGGAATCGTCAGCGCGAAAAGAAAAATAGAAAGAAAAAAGAAATGAAATAAAGAATTGTCAAGATTAGACGAAATTGTTAAGAAAACATTATCAAAAATACATGAGTCAGCACAAAAAGAATCAAAGAAAGGAAACATTTTGAAGATTAGAAGATATCGTAAATACAAAAAAAAAATGATAGAAAGAAACCTGAAGAAATGATTGTGAACATTAAACGGAATTGTCAAGATAAACAGAAGTGTTTAATGAAGCAATAGAAGGGAGTATTGTTGAGGAAAGAAATTGTAACGGTGAAATAAAAAAAGAAAGAAAGAAAGAAGATATGAAAGAAAGTTTCCAGACAAATAGAAAGAAAGAATAAATAAAAAAAACAAAAGAAAGAACCAAAAAGCAAACGAGACAACAACGATCCATATTGAACAGAAAGATTTTTATGAGGAATAAATGGAAATGAAAAGAGAGAAAGTCGTTAAAGGTAGCAAGAATTTTCGAGAAAATCGTAAGAAAGAAAGAAAGAAAGATGGTATAGAATCGAAGATAATATAACAAATATATATATTGTTAGGTATTCTTCTTGACTAGTAACAACTTCTCTTCTTCGCTGTTAATGACACCATATACGCACCTACAGAAAGAGGGTGAAGCTGTTGGAAAAAAAAGGTCAGTAGAACATGCTAATGTCCTTGAAAAGACAAAAAGTGTATGGGAGCAGGTTGGGAGAAATGTTCGGTGACAATAAAACGAGTGGTAAAATTGCAACTAAATTATATAATGATACTTTAGTCCTATTGACAGCAGTTGAAATCGCGTGAGAGGAAAACGCAGTTAATAAAATATGTAAAGAGTCATATTTATAAGAAAAAGCTATTTATTAATAACGCAGAAAACTGTATGTCCCGGTATATATCTGTGTTTATTTTGCGTGGAAAATATATACCTGTAAGTGCTTTCACTTAATAAATGTGTATAAATGTTTCCGCTTCCTGTGTGCGTTTAAATCTGTACGAATTAATAAAATTAACCTCGTTTTAACTCATTCTATAAAGGGCAATAACTCTGTTGAGCCAATTTTCGTCACGCATGCGCAGGTTTTGTGTGCTTGTTGAAATAATAAATTCTAAAATGGAATCCACCTCATTGCCAAATGAGTGTGTCGTTGTTACACCAGGAGGTAAAGATAACATCTCAATCACGTATTATTGGTAAGAGCAATCAAGAAACAAAAGAAAAAAAAGGAAAAAAAAATAGAAGCAAACTTGTTGCTGCCTTGTTGACTTGTTATTTACGCTCCTTGTCTCCCTGTTCACGATTCCTCTTATGCAATGTGGGCGATTTTGATTGAGTGAAGATTATTAGCTGACTAGGTTTTGGTGCCCCCAAACTCTTTTCATCGCTTCCTACCCAACAATCTTACTCACTTTTTGATCGCCAATGATGTCAGTATTTTAGGTAATAGTTTTGAAGTGTGCTTGCGTGTATGTGTGGGGGGGTGATTAAACAGACAGGAGGAGAGGTTAAATCAAGGCAAGATAAAACAATAAATCGATGTTTCGTTTTGCTGATAGTACCATCTTTCTTTTTGTTCATTTTTCTTTCTTTTTTCTTTATTTCTTTCTTTCTTTCTTTCTTGTTTTTCTTTTACTTTCTTTCTTCCTTCCTTTCTTTCTTCTTTTTCTTTTTCTTGTTAATTTTTCTTTTTTTTTCTTATTGATGTTACTTTTATTCTTGATTTCTTCTTTTCCTTTTTCCATTCATTCTTCTTGATTGTTTTTCTTTTATTTCCTCCCTTTCTATTTCATTTCTTTCTTTCTTTTTTCTTTCTTTCTTTTTCTTGATTGTTTCTTTACTTCCTTTCTTGGTCTTTTTCTTTTCTTTCTATTTTTTTAAAATTCTTTTTGAATTTTCTTACTTTCTCTTTCTCTCTTTCTTGTTAATTGTTTTTCTTCTTTCTCTTTTTCTTTCATTTTTTTCTTTTTTGTTGATTGTTTTCCTTTCTTAATTTTTTTTCTTTTCTTTCATTCTTTCTTTGTTTAATTATTGTTGAATTTTTCTTTTATTTCTTTCTCTCTTGCTCATTCTTTCTTTCTTGTTGATTGCTTATTTTCTTTTTTCTCTCTTTCTTCCTTGTTGATTGCTTATTTCCTTTCTTTGCGATTATTTTCCCTTCCTTTATGTTTTCTTTCTTTCTTTTCCTTCTTATGTTATTTTCTTCTTTCCATTTTGGCTATTTTTTATTTTCTTTCTTCCTTTCTTTCATTTGATAATTATCCTTGGAATTTCTTTCTTTCTATCTTTAGTTTTTTCCTTATTTCTTTCTTTTTGTTTATTTTTTCTTTCTTTTTGGTTTTTATTCCCTTTTATCATTTTTTGTATCTCCTTTTTAGATTTTTTCTTTCCTACTTTCGTTCATTTGCTTCTTTTTTCCATTTTCGATTATTTTTCATTTTCTCTTTCTTATTTTTAGCTTGTAATTCTTCCGTGAAAATTTTTGTAATTAATTTTGTCTGCAAATTTTCTATTCGTCCCTGAAAATTTTATTTGTTTTTTACGTCTTTCTTTCTTTCCATTATTGTTTCTTCCTTCTTTATTTGTTTTTCTTTCTTCATATCTTTTTCCTTCCTTCTTTTTTATCTCCTTGCGTCGTTTGACTTCTTTCTTTATTTTTTCTTTACATCTTTTTCCTTCTTTCCTTGTTTATTTTTCTTTATTTCTTTCTTTCCCCTAATTTTTTATTCATCGCTGAACGTTTTCGCTACTATTTATCCTTTATACTTTTAACCTATTTTCTTCTTTTTCTTCATTATTCCTTCTTATTTCCTTTCTTCGTTTTGCCATTGAAATTTGTTCCTTTACTTCATTACGAATCTTTCTCTCATTTTTTACTTTTTCATAATTTTTCTTTCTTTTTTTCTTGACATTTATCTTTCTTTGTGTCTGTCTTTTTTTTTCTTTTTATCTTTTAGTGCTTTTTTTTCTTGGGATTTTTGTCTTTCTTTCTCTTTCTCGTTACTTAAGTTCTTTACTTCCAGGCTGTTCTATAGCTATTATTCTTATTTCTCTTTCTTCTTAATTCTTTTTCCTTCCTTCCTTCCTTCCTTCCTTCCTTCCTTCCTTCCTTCCTTCCTTCCTACATCTCCTTCTTTCCTCCCCCTTCTCTCACTCCCCTCCTTCCTTCCTTCCTTCCTTTCTTCCTTCCTTCCTTCCTTCCTCCTCCCCTTCCCTCCTCCCCTCCTTCCTTCCTTCCTTCCCTCCCTCCCCTTCCTTCCTTCCTTCCTTCCCCCCTTCCTTCCTTCCTTCCTTCCTTCCTTCCTTCCCTCCTTCCTTCCTTCCTTCCTTCCTTCCCTTCCTTCTTCCTCTTTCCTTCCTTCCTTCCTTCCTTCCTTCCTTCCTTCCTTCCTTCCTTCTGTCCATCTATCTTATCATTTCTTTCTTTCTTTCTTTTTTTTCTTTCTTTCTTTCTTTCTTTCTTTCTACTTTTGTTATTTGGCTTCTATTTCTTTTTTCTATTTTCTCGTTTTTTAATTTTATTTACGTCTTTTTAAAAAAACAAGTTTCCTTTTATATTTCAAACTACTCACCTTTTAATAGCCATTGTGTTTTTATTTTTTTTAAATAATTGTCTCTACTTATTGTCTATGCCTTTTTCTCCTGTCTGTCACCTACATATCACCGAATTCTTAAAAAAGGCTTTCCTTTTGTATCATAAAAATAAACCAGCCAAAATAGCAACACATTTCCATATCACTGATTACAAATAGTGCAGACATCACGGATGATGATGTCAATCGATGTCAAGTTTCAGAAACCAAAAACAAATCAATTTAATTAATCCAATCAGCAAATAAAGTAATCCACGCGATTTGCAAAGATGCCAGGTCACAAAAATAAATCCCGCAATATTACTCTATTTTTCTAAGTAGTTTTTGTTTTGTTTCCTTTAATAAAATCATTTCCTATTTGGCTCCAAATAAAAACAGCATCGAAGACTGCGCAATGAAAAAGTTAATCTTCATGTTTTCCCATACATACTCGCATTGCTGTATGCGTGTGGTGCATGTAGTGGAATGAAATATATCCGAGCCGAGTTCGAATTCTGGTCGAGATTACCACATTCATTTTCGCACAAATTACCTTGAGGGGAGATATATGAATCTCTATCTCCTCCCGTGTTGTTATGTCTCCCTCGCTATGTCTGGTAAACAATCTAGGAAAAGGGCAACTATTAATCTAAACCTGTATATAGCATTGATTGTTATTTAGTTCCTTAGTTAGTTTGTTAGTTAACATGTACGTTATGCCCTGCGAATACTTAAATAAACGACTATTCTGTTTCGATTGCGAGGAATGACGTCAAAGACATATTAGAGACGCCTTTTGGTGTCGTTAAGAAAAAGAAAAAAGAAAGAAAGAGTAGGGGATAGAATTCTCATTTGTTTAACCTCCACTTCATCTAAATAGTAAAACTTCACATATTGTTCGGAATGTTGTCCTCTTCGTTGTCATATTCACAACGTTTCGGCCGTTGTATGTTCCGTCTTTCTTCAGGTTCCCAAGAACACATGGCCGAGTGGATGAGCTTTGAATGAAGTAATCCAATGTCTTGACACAAGAAATTGTGAGTTCAATACCTAGCCACAGCAAAAATGAACACAAATTTGGAGAGTATAAACAGATATGCAACATTTATATCCACTACAAATCGGGTGTAGTGAAGGACATTTTTCAAAATAGAACTGATTCCCACTTTATATACGCCTCCCATTGTACCAATGACTGGATTTATGTCGGCTGCACAACAGAAAAATTAACCAAATGATTTAATGGCCATAGATATTATATCCGACACATCAATGGAACATCAACAGAAATTGATATTAAGAGATAGATCATTAATAGTAATAAATAAAAGTAAATGTTCACTTAGGAGTGAGTAATGGATAGCGGCTCGGATTGAGGAATCGAAAGAGCCGAGTTCGAATTCCAGTCGAAACCATTACATTCACTTATTTGCTAATACCTTTGGGAAAAGTATGAATCCTCATTTTCCCCACTGCAAATAGCAGGACAGACCGGGTTCTATAGCCTTGAATGGCAAGTAGTCTACCACAGAAAGAAATGGCAACCAACTACGAAAGATACATGATCGCCTAAGCGTGTATCACGCATGGCACATAAATGACTGAAATGTCCACTTATCTTGTCCCGATCAGAGTTTCGCGGAGATTACATCCACTCACGGGACATTTTATCACAAACGACCGTATTTTCGACGAACATCTTAAGGTACACATTCTAAAATTATGTCGGGGATCCATCAACATGTCGACCCTTAAAATGCATGAAAATAATTACATATGAAAATTACTACGGTTCCACTCCGGAGTAATGAATAAAATACCTACGGTCTCGAGCCGTGCCTGGTAACCTGTATAGGAGAAGAACATATACTACGAAGCCATTGAAGTGGTTATGAAGTGCACAGTTAACTAGCGTTAAGATCTGTGTGATCTCGACTGCAGTAGATCGATGAGGTAAGTAGGTAGGTGTATAAATATACACTGTTTAAAAGTTTCTTCTCTGATGTAAAAAGGAAATACTTATTCGTTTCTTGTGGCGAAGCACATTTTATTTAGTAGGACTTCAGTATCCCTAGGCCGGTAGACATTAATTTCATTGTCTTAAAAAAGACAGGGATGTGTAGTCAAACACGCTTACCTACTAAATATAACGTTTAGTGTAATGAGAAATAATGTCGGTTTGGAAAATCCATTAAATGATTAAAATTACTGTTTATTTTTTTGAGTACGAAAGAAAAGCTACGAATATAGCTTCTTCTTCTTCTTCTTCTTCTTCTTCTTCTTCTTCTTCTTCTTCTTCTTCTTCTTCTTCTATGTGCTGTGGCTCTCCACAATTTCATGTCCTTTGAAGCTCTTAATAAATTTTGTATTTTTACTATTTCTCTGCCATCCATTTACTAAGTTATGCGTTTTCCTCTGTCTCTCTTGCATTTCAATCTGTCCTGTGATTATATGATTCTCCAATTTCCTCATTATGTGCCCTAGAAATTTCAGCTGTCGCTTCCTGATGTTAACCATAAGTGTTGACATTTTCTCTAGAATTTCGTCGTTGCTCACAGGTTCAGTCCTTGGTATCCCCAGCATTTTTCAGTAGAACTACATCTCTGATGCTTCGGGTCTCTCCTTCATCTTCGAAAAGATTGTCCAGCATTCTCTGCCATATAGATATCACGTAACAGTTTAGAACTCTTTTGTTTGTTTCTAACGAAGTTTTCCTGTTTCGTAATATCTTTTTTATTGATGGGAGTATATGTATATTTAGTAAGATAAAACGAACATATCAACATCCTCTAGTTATAATTAGACGTCGAGTGAAATGGCTGAATATACAGGAACGCTTAAAATTAAGTCTAAATTTTAAATTTCTGGAGTTCCATACATAACATAAGAAGCCTCATTCACATTCATACGGCTTCTGTTTTAGTTTTAAAATAACCCAAACACACGTACAGACTAAATATTAAGCTTATAGTAATAAGAAATGAAGTCAGATTAAAAGATCCAATAATTCTTTATAAGTCGATATATAAAATAAAGTTTTATCGATATATATAGCTTTTAGCTTTTGGAAAGCATCTTTGGCTATCCCAATGATACTTCGGATTTCAGTATCGCATTGTCCGTCCTCTGTTTCGCTAAGTATGTTATGCGTTGTTTTTGTCGTTGTTCACATCTTCGATCCATGGTATGCTCAGCATCTTTCTGTAGAACCAGTTGCTTCAAGTCTCTTTATCTTTGAGGAGATTGTCTCAGCATTCGCTGCCATACAGAATGACTGATATTATCTAACGCTTCAGTATATGTTTCGTTGTTCTAAGGAAGTATTTCTGTTTCTTAATACTGTGCTTAGCTTTTGGGAAGCATCTTTCACTATCCTAATGCGCCTACGGATTTCAACCTCACACTTTCCTTCATATGTTTAAATGCTTCCCAGATATTTACATTGCTGTGTTTGTTTTTTTATTTATTTTGGTATCTCCAATTTGTAACTTGCATGCTAGGTTGTGCTGTTTGCTAACAACCATGCATCATGTCTTTCCTCATTCCAAAAAATATAAAGATGTATTTAAGCCGATGATCTCTAAAGATGGACAGTTCATGGGTCACGTCTGCAAACGATCGAGTAAGACAGAAGTTGAGCTGAAGAGTCATCTTTGTGCACGTTGTCGTATGGTGATCAATGAACAGATAATCTTTTTTCTAAAAAAGGGTGCAATCTTTATATATATATATATATATATAAACAGAGTTGACGTCTTTTTATATACCTTTAAGGATTCCCTTTGAACCAAGACTTTTTCAAAAGGTAGACGTTGGCGCAATTAAGCAAACTCAGGAAAAAATTACAAAAAAGTGAATGAGGAGGAGAAATTGGAACAAGATTAAAACAAATTTTACTTGTAAATAATGGACGACTACACATAGAAATTAAAAGGTTTCAACTGAAACTCTTTTTCTGTTGTACATAGAGCTCACTCTGCCCACTACCTTCGAGTTCTCGAAGCTCTATATTTCAAATTATATCTGTCCAGCCTATGTAGAGATGAGAAACATTTTATTTGTTTCTTGTGTTTGTTTGAAGGATTATTAGTAAAAATGTTCTATTTTATACTTTTTTATATGTTGAAACCTTTTAATGTCTGCTTATAGTCCTCATCTGTATATCTTATGTTGTTAAGGTTGTGGCCGGAAATAATGAATCCTGGTATGGTATTTAATTCTCACCGAATCGCCTCGCTGTTAGTTCAATGAAAAGACACTTATACCCGTTTCAATTTTTATATATCTGTTGAACTCATTTTTTATTTGTAGACGATTCGCTGTCAGCACAAGTTCTTGATTATTGGAATATCCTTCCCAAATATATCAAGGTTGGTGAGCAGTTGAAACTGATATTTATTCCGTACTTTAACAAATGCCTTTGCGTAATCTATAAAACACATCTACACGTCCTTCTGCATTTGCATTGCTCTCTCTGGTAACATTCTGTGCATAGATATCATGTCCCTTGTTCCGGTGTCTTTGACGAATCCGCATTGTTCTTGTCCTATTGCCAGTCTGATTCTGCTGCGAGCTCTATTCATCAGAATTCCGACCATTTTTATTAGATGGTTCATTAGGCTGATTGTCCGATGGAGGTCACATTCGTATGCACCTGGCTTAAAAGTGGTTTTCCTGATGGATGCTAATACAGATCCGATTCTGTCATGAAGAATATGTCCTGTTGTGGGATATTATGTGAAACATTTCACCCTTGAAAATGGCTTCTTCGACCTAAATATCTTTTTTATTGATGGGAGTATATGTATATTTAGGAAGATAAAACGAACATATCAACATCCTCTAGTTATAATTAGACGTCGAGTGAAATGGCTGAAGATACAGGAACGCTTAAAATTAAGTCTAAATTTTAAATTTCTGGAGTTCCATACATAACATAAGAAGCCTCATTCACATTCATACGGCTTCTGTTTTAGTTTTAAAATAACCCAAACACACGTACAGACTAAATATTAAGCTTATAGTAATAAGAAATGAAGTCAGATTAAAAGATCCAATAATTCTTTATAAGTCGATATATAAAATAAAGTTTTATCGATATATATAACTATATATAACTATATATATATATATATATATATATATATATATATATATATATATATATATATATATATATATATATGAAATGGATTAAGTCCGACAATTATTTAATATATTTTTCTTTTTATATATTGAGAGTCATGTTCCATTGAATAATTTAAACAAATTTTGTCTACTTATCTTTAATTGGATCTTTTCATATTCCCGGACAAGATTTTTGGTGTCATTATTAAGGGAAGAGAGAAAATTACCGTGTTAATATATATTATTTTATTCCTAGTACTTTCGACATTAGCACAATTTCACCATCTGGACGTTGTTTACTTCAAGTCAAATATTGTAGTGTTCATCATTTTCACAGACAAAATTGCTATGTTATTTTTTTTAAGGAAGTGAAAATGCTGGGGTAATGTGCTGTATGATTTAGCTTCTACAACGTTGTTATAGCATGACCAACATAAATATTTTTTTTCCATTGGCAATACAATCTCCCGGAGGACATTTAAATTTACTTACAATATTGTCTCAGCGGCTGAGCTTTCCTTTGAATGATGCGTCCAACATGTCTAAACATTTACAACAACATATCTGTCCACATTCGCAATTCAGGAAAATTCTTGTTGAAAATACATTTATACATTTTCATGAAAATAATAAACATAAACTGAAAATTCTATAAGCTATCTATATTAAAAATTTAAAACCAAATCTTAATGAAATTAATTATGAATACTGCACAAATATATTAAAATATTAAATACAGTATATATTTTAAAATATAGTTTTAATAGTAATTTTTAAAAACTCTCGAAACACCATACTTAGTTACCTCCCCTAAGCTTTACACCAAGCTAAATGGTACAGCACATAACCCCAGCTTTCAAATGAACACAGCAATTTTGTCTTTGAAAATGATGAGCGTAACAATATTTGACAGGAAATAAACAATACACTGATAATGACATTGTGCTAATGTTGAAAGTCCTCTGAATAAAATCAACACGGTAATTTTCTCTCTTCCTTTAATAATGACACCAAAAAAGATTTTTCGTGAATATGAAAGGATTCAACTGAAAATAAGTAGACAAAACTTGTCTAGCTTATTCAATGAAACATATCTCAATTAAAAACATGCTGCCAACGCACATATGTATATGTGTGTTTAAAATAGGATGTACATTCCCGACAAAGTTTTTTATGAAATTTTCACAAATGGAAAATGTTTAATTGAAACGAGATTTCATTTATTTTCTTACTTCTTTAATCACGAGAAAAATGACTGGTTCTTTATTTAAACATACACACAAATACACTAACATTCATTTCTTTCTTTCGTTTGGGATCCGATGAAGCTTAGAAAAGTTCAACGCGTAATCACATCTAGTTTCAATTAATATATATATACATACATACATACATATATATATATATATATATATATATATATATATATATATATATATATATATTACAGTAAGGTACACTTTTTCCAAGGGCTGTGGCCACTCGAGGTAGAGGGCTACGTTAGAAGGCAATTTGGGCAGTTAAGATGGTAAGATAATGGTTAATCCTAGACATGAACAAGTTAAGATGGTAGTGATCAGGGAAACAGATGGTAGTGATTGGTTCAAGAACTCAATGGTTGGCGGGAAGAAGCTGTTCGATTGGGACTTATTTTTCACGGATGGAATACGGAGGCAATGTGAGTGGTTTGCTAGTATGTAAGTGGCATGACGTTTCCTTGCCGTGAATGTGCTTCGGCCGAGCATTTTCCGTGGAAGTAGCGATAGACTAACAACTGGCGTGCCACATACCGCTTGTGGGAGAGAATTTTGGGATGGATAGTAATTCGTCACCCACAGAATGAGGTCTAGGCAGTTTGGCACACAGATATGATAATAGAACTCTATTTTCGATCTGATCTGTCTCTTGTAAAGGTAAAGGATAGCATAAAGGATCAGGTACTTACTAGAGTGGTACAGAAATCCAACCATTTTACCTTCATCCTTAGCACACACACACACACACACACACACACACACACACACATATATATATATATATATATATATATATATATATATATATATATATATAGGGTTAGATAAATGAAATAACAAAGTGTTAGCGAGCATATACGCGCGTGCTGGCGTGCATACGTTGGTAAGCAAATAGATAATTGCCAAATTTAGCCAAGAGGTGTAGACATAATAGTGCTCTGTAATTAAACAGAGCAAAAAGAAATATATATTAATAAATACAGGTTTGGTGTAATATATATATATATATATATATATATATATATATATATATATATATATATATATATATATATACGGATATACGGGCGGTTTAATGGAAATCGGCCCGGAATAAGAAATCGAGGACTTGAATTCGAATTCCAGTTACGCGAAAATAACTTTGGGAAAAGGGATGTATAACACTCTCTCCGCCCCAGGTGTTAAATAATAGAAAAGGTATGGCTTTTTATCCTTGATTGACAACTTGTCTAGGAGAACAACAACTATTAATTCAAAAAATGACACTTCAACACTTATATTTAGTGTAAAACTTTCCATTTCATATTTTGCTTAGCTTTTGAAAGGCATCTTTAGTTATTTCAAAACGCCTTTGGACTTCTGTGTTACATTCTCCGTCGACTTTTATAAGTTTTATGATAATTTTGACATTGAAAGTGTCTGTAGTTAAATATTAAGTGATTACTATAAAGACAGTGAGAACACTAATCCGGATATCTAGGTGGGGAAATTATTTAAAAATGATTAAAAATGTACAACGTCAAGCAGGTCCAGAAGTTTAAATAAGGATTTTAACAGTGGATGAAAAATGTGACGTCGAGATCCGAACATGCATTGGACTAGCGAAAGATGCTTTCTGAAAGGTAAGCAAAGAAACAAGAAGAGAATGCTGGATAGCTATGTGTTATCCATTCTCTTATATAGCAGTAAATTCTAGACAATCTCCCCATGCAGGAGGAGAAAACTGGAAGCAGTTCTACAGAATGAATACGGAGAATTCCATGGACGGAGAGTGTAAGCTATAAGGAAGTCTTAAAGAAAATGGCAACGGAAAGAACAGTTTTACTCAGAATCAGGAGAAATTCTGCTGAAATTCCTTGGATACATAATAAGAAGGGAAGTCTTGCAAAGCTTAACCCTCTACCTACCGGATATCGAAATCCCTGCAATTTTAGAGGGTAGCCAGTACACTTGTTAACCATTACAATATGGCGAAATGTTTAAGATTTACTAAGTTTAGTTTAAGGGTCAAGCCAAGTATGTCATAAGGCTATGTATAGGGAGAACTCACTGATGATTCATTTGTACAGAGTAGCGAAATTACTTGATAACAATTTTGCTCTGTCATAGTGTTTAATATTTAATAAGCTAACCTTAAAGAAACATACTAGTATGGTACACGGTTACATATATGAAGCAACAGATAAATATCGAAATCACTGCATTTATACACGGTATTTGTTTTTTTGTTTTTTTGTTTTTTTACGGCTTATCAACCCTTTGGGGGTTATCTAAAACTGAAACATGTTTCGGGTTGTAGGAGGTTGCTTACTGTACTCGGTGTTCCCACGCAGTTCCCCATCTAAGTACTGATCGGGCTCGACGCTGCTTAACTTTGGTGATCGAACGAGAACCAGTGTTTTCAGCATGAATAGACGGTATGCTTATACTTACTAACAATTGTGCTATGGCATAGTGTTTCATTTTTACTAAGCCTAAAATGGTACAAGACTACATGTACGGAATATGGATCGAGATTACTGTACATCTAAAGGACAAAGAACGTACTTGTAACCATTGTTACAATTAATATTTATTAGGTTTATTAGCACAAGGCGAGTGAAACACAAGGTTTCTTAATGATGATTCTCAGATATAGTGGAGCTAGGTTGCTAACTGTTGCTCCGTGGCGATTATCCAAGAATCTTTCTTTATTCAATATTCATTGTATCCGTTACCAATTTTTGCAGTGTAAAATCGTTTCTCTTGATTACTAGCTCTCTAATTTAAATTCTTCAATCTTTACCATTGAATCCTCTCTTCTTATTTTTTTCCTCTCTATCGAAAGGATTCTAGTGTCCACCTACCTAGCGTCGGTGGTTATGTTCGTAAAAATCTCCCAGTGGCATGGGAATTGTCTCTACAGTCTCCAGATTGTTTTATGTGCTTATGATTTAAACTCCGATAACTATCTCAGCTTCCGTTATCGTTCCCCTTCTTCTCAGGACTAAGTTCTATTCTAATAGTTTCTTTCCTCGCACTTCTCATTTGTGGAAATCTCTTCCGGTTTCTTACTTTCCTGCCACCTACGATCATCAAAAATTTTAATGCTACGTCAATCGCCATCTTCCTGAACTTCGTTCTTTTATTGTCATCTCTCTTCACTAAAGTTTTCTTATTCTTTTCCACTCCCTACATAACCCGTCGCGTCTTCCTGGCATTATCACCTTGCTTGTGGGAAAATTATGTAAAAAGTGTGGAGGAGAATGTGCGAGGACTAGAAATCGGGAAAGTGGGAGAGAAAAAGAGTAACAAAGGAAATCGTCTCTTTGAGCAACTCGATATGACAGGGGTGATGAAAAGCCCGGAGAATTCCATTAAGGGAGCGAGAATTCTGTGGAGAGATCTTAAAGAAAATGGCAACAAAAGAACACTTATACACAGAATCAGGAAGAGACAGCTGAAATTCCTTGGGTGCATAATGAGGAAGCAGGACTTGAGAAACATAACCCTCCCAGGGCATACTGAGGGCAAGAGTGACTGGGGAAGGTAGTGAGTCAGCTCACTGACCTCTTGGTGTGAATGAATGTCAAAACGGTGGGACGGGAGCCTTATTAAAGGAAGAAAAACAGCTACGGGCCAAAAGGGATAGGAAACTTTGGAGAGCCATAATCGTCTATATCCTGAAAGGACGCTGTGAAGAAGAAAAAGAAGAAGAAGAAGAAGAAGAAGAAGAAGAAGGAGAAGAAGAAGGAGGAGGAGGAAGAGAGGAGGTACAGTAGACGACAGGTGAACAAAGGAAACTGCTGGCTCGAGAGGCGTAGTGAAAGGAGCGAACCAAAGAAATTGATATGAATCGATCACGACTAAGTGTCTATCGACGACACCCGACATCCCCCACACCCGTCCCTCGAGGGGTACAAAAGACCAATATCAGTAGAAGATAATCGACATCCTATGCGGCTCGATGTCACCGGAGCGGACGCGAATGCACACGATATCGCGTATTAATATCCCAGCCTGGAGCGGGTAGTAGCTGTAGCCGTAGCAGCAATAGCGACAGTAGTAAGAACAGGCACGATTGCAGCAGAAGTAGAAAGAGGAAGAAAATGAAGTTGCAGAAGAAATGCAGTAGTCAGACCATTTCTGAGAGTAAAACAATTTCTTTCTCAGACTGCTAGGAATCATCGTCGACTTTCGAACGGTGAATAATTGAAAACACATTAAGATTCGTTCGAAACACATCAAAGTATCCAGGCTTGGAAATGAAAAGTATATATATATATATATATATATATATATATATATATATATATATATATATATATAGATAATGAATAGAGATATATGAGATAGATAAATTGATCATAAATAGATTTATATTACATATATAATGAATAGACATATATAAGATAGATAGATAGATAGATAGATAGATAGATAGATAGATAATGAACAGACTGAGATAGATAGATAGATAGATAGATAGATAGATAGATAGATAGATAGATAGATAATGAACAGACTGAGATAGATAGATAGATAGATAGATAGATAGATAGATAGATAGATGAGATAGATGAACAGACTGAGATAGATAGATAGATAGATAGATAGATAGATAGATAGATGAGATAGATAGATAGATAGATAGATAGATAGATAATGGATCTATATGAGATAAACAATGAATAGGCTTATTATACTGAATAGACATATTCAAGATAGAAAATGTATAGACTAATATGAGATAGATAGATAGATAGATATGAATAGACTAAGATAGATAGATAGATAGATAGATAGATAGATAGATAACGAATATCCTTATCTGATATAGATAATGAATAAACTTATATGAGGAATATAGTGTATGCACTTAGATTGATAGATATAAACAGATTGAAATATACATATATCAGTCTGTTCATATCAATTTATTAACAGACTGATAAATCTTTTTTCATTTTCTTTTATTTCATTGTGCGTTGCACAATGAAATTAAACATTTACACACACACAATATATATATATATATATATATATATATATATATATATATATATATATATATATATATATATAAGTCTGTTCGTATATAGCTATATGTATATATATATATAAATATATAGTGTGTGTGGACATATATATTTTCCACTGAATGACAACATTTTGTTTCTTGCTGGAAGCTCCATTACAATCATATCAGTTTACGTGTCAATCTGAGAACAATGCAGATGATTCGGAAAGAGTTGGATGAATCTAATGGTGACTACAAAGGTACGACAGCCTGAAAAACTCATTTGGTCGTTCTGATAAGAAGATAATTCCTGGATTAGACTTAACTCTGACGCCTGCATCAAGTACCTTTAGGAGAGATTGCTGCTCTGGACAAGAGGTTAGTTGTCTGGCAATAAGACTCTGCACCATGTCACACAAGCAGGAGAAGCCAGTCATGGCCCAGACAATTTCCACGACCACATGTCGATTTATATCTGGCCACCTACCTCCCTAGACTGCAACCTCCTTAATTATCATATGTGGGGCTCAAATGGACGAGAGAGCAACAAAACTCCTTTTAACGTCAAAGATGAACTAAAGGCAAGGATTATAGCCGCATTTACTAATTTAAACAAGGAGACCGCCCAGAAGAGTTGCAGGAGATTCTGAAGTCGTCTGGAGGCCATGTTTGAATCCAATGGCGATTTTATTGAATAAATTTAGTCTTTAATATTTCACGATATTTTTGTGTAATTTAGATAAATATATCTGTTAAAATGAGAAATTAGTGTTATTTTCATTTTTGCGTATTTAGACGACAATTTATCGATCGCACCCTCTGCGTATATGTGTGTGTATATGTGTGTGTGTTTGCATAATAAGAGATATGAAGATATTAACTGAATTATATATATATATATATATATATATATATATATATATATATATGTTTAGATAGATAGATAGACGCGAACAGTATTAGTAAGATAACATATTTAGTTGGATGTATTGCCAATCAATATAAATATTTATGTTCATATTTGTGCAGTCAACTGTGCCCAAATCCGACGCCTCTCTCCTACTCAATAATTGAGGTTTCTTTGTGAGACGCTTGCTGGATGAATAATAAAAAAAACGTTTCCATCGACCGATGAAAAGCTGGCGTTATTTGGCCAGATTCCGTGAAGACATCTTTTTTTTACGATCTCGTTTATTTAAGAAAATAAATAACGGAGCTTTTTCTCCTACTTTGCATCAAATAAATTACATGCATCTTTAAATACTCCCTTTGTTTATTGATCTTTAGATTTTATGCAGCGTGTCTATTTGACCAACTCAGACGAAGACGAAAATCATAGTGTGTTGATGACATCCGAATTCAATGACATTTTCTCATTCTTTTTTTTTATATATCTGTAAGCCTTCTTCTTTGTGTGCCGTGTCCCCTCAGGACATAGACGATCATGGCTCTCCACAACTTCCTGTCCTTTGTAGCTCTTAATAGATTTTGTCATTTTGTTATTTGCCCTATTCCGCCATCCATTTACTCAAGCTTACTATGTTATGTGTTGTTTTCTTGTCCCTCTTGCTTTAAAATATCTGTATCATATTTTGTAAGCCCTCTTTCCTCATTATGTATCCTATATATTTTAACTGTCTCTTACTGATATTAAGTTTGGGAGCCGCTCAAGGTAGAGGATTAAAGTTGAAATGGTAATGAGAAGAAGAACTAATCCACAACGAATGCTTGAAAACAACCCCACAGCCAATGCCAAGCTTTCTGTTCAGATTTACGAGGGAATCCAAGAGAAACGGCTGACCAGGGGAAATGGCGTGGCTTCTTCAATGCTCGGGCTTTTCTTCTTCTTCTTCTTCTTCTTGTGCTGTGTCCCCTCAGGACGCAGATGATAATGGTTCTCCACAATTCCCTGTCCTTTGTAGCTCATAATTTTTATCTTTCTGTTATTTCTCCCAAACCCTGTTCCATCCTTCATTTACGCAAGTTCAATAAGTATGGAATGCGATGTTTTCATCTGCCACTTGCCCTCAGTCTGTTCTGTAAGTATCAGATTTACCAAGTCCTTTCTCTTTATTATGTGCCTAAGAAACATAGCTAATTTAACTCAAAATGCTATTCAAGAGTTTGTTTGAAACGTTCTACCGCATCCACTGTATTCATCTGATTTAACACATTCAGATTATTATATTTCCAAAAATTTCACAGGCGTTCCATTCAAAAACAACGTGGAATTGAAAACATGGTTCGAGGAATTATTTTAATCAACAAATATTTTCCTGTATTGCGAAGGTGGCCAGGAATCTCTGACAAAAAAGTAAGTACATATGTTTGACGGCCACAACATTATCAAGACGTCTTTGTCGGATACACGTTCTATCGTACAATATCTAAACAACATTCCTGTCCACCTTCAAAATACACGGACATACTCCTTGACAACGCCAATATACTACCTCATGAAAATAGTATACAAAAACTTCACATTCTCGAGGCCCTCTATGTTAAAAACAACCAACCAACACTCAACAAAATTTATTACAAATATAGCCACAGTATATTAAAATGCATATAACATTTAATGCCATTTTACATTTCTACCAATTCCCGGTCAGCTTTCTTATATTGAAACGATTGTTTTGCAAAAGATTCCGTAATCACAGCGGATAAATTAAACATTTTAAAATAACTATAACATTGGCGCGTTTGCGCGTGTTTTTAAAAATCACCATCACAACGGAATGCAGATGTTATTGCAGTTACAATAAATTTGTCTTTGTAATTTACCCCTGAAGATGATATTGGAAAAGATCGAAAGTACTTGGCTTAAAAAAATAAGAAGTATGACGACTTTCCTGATAAATTTCATCTTAACGTCAAGAAACTGATTACACAATTGAAAGGACCAGTATAAAAATAAGTAGACACAATACGTCTTTATTATTCAATGAAACGCACACACACACACACACACACACACACACACACACACACACACACACACATATATATATATATATATATATATAAAGAAATATAGTCTTAAGGTGTGCTATATTTATGGGATAAAGTGCTCAATATCAGAGATAGAGCGTGTGTAAATATAAAAAGTGAAATAGAAGTCAACACTTAGAGCCTCTAAGTGTTGACTTCTATATTATCTTTTTTTTATATATATATATATATATATATATATATATATATATATATATATATATATATCAAATATGTGGTGCAGTTTAATTTTTATTACAATAAATCATTCATACAAAAGTGAAGTAGTTAATGATATAAAATGGTGGAATCCCTTCACTAACAAAATTTTAAAGATGCATTAACACACTAACCACTCGATGAATATTATGATCACTGTTTTTTTCTTTAAAATTATAAACTGATTTGGTCTTCCTTAAATAACACATCAATAAAACATTTAAAAAAAAAAACATTTCAATTTGCATTATATTTTTTCGTTTTGGATGCTACCTGAATTTTACCCAAAACAGTTTCCATTCCTGATGATGGTGATGATATATATATATATATATATATATATATATATATATATATATATATATATATATATATAATATTTCATTAAATAATTTAGACAAGATTTGTCCACTTATTTTTAATAGGATCCTCTCGTAATTAAGGACATCTTTCTTAGTATCCTTAGTAGAAGAATAAAGAAAATTACTATGTTGATATATATTCATTTTATTCCGGGTACTTTCAACATTAACACACTCTCATCAAGGTCTTATTCTTTCTAACACTGCACAAATATTTTAAAATGTTTATAGTAGATAGTTTAAAATATCTAGGTTTTAACTAATAGTTTTAGATATTTTTCTTTTCTTTAAATATTTAGACATTGCAATAACTTAGTTACCTCCCTTGATGTATATACGTGTGTCTACATGATAATATTTAATAACTGTACAGTACATAACCTTTGTGTTTTTCACTTCACACGCAAAAAATTAATTTTTAGATGAACACAATTTTGTCTGAGAAAAACCATGATCTTGATGAAGACATTGTGCTAATGTCGAAAGTACTCAGAATAAAATAAATATGCATCAACGTAGTAATCTTCTTTCTTCCTTTAATAAGGATACTAAGAAACTTGTCCGTAATTATGAGAGGATCCTATTAAAAATAAGTAGACAAAACTTTTCTACATTATTTAATGAGACATGATTAATGAAAACATGCTGTCATATATATATATATATATATATATATATATATATATATATATATACAGGTACGATGAGAACAAATAGAGTATAGTACCAACGTTTGTAACATTAATTTAAAATGGCCCAATACATAGTAGACCAATACTATTTATTTCAATTTTCATATACTTGTATTTTGATTAATCATTGTATTTGAATTATAATATACTTGTATTTTGATTGGTCATTGTAGCTTACGTAACAATGTTTCTCTTACTGAGGGGGGTTTGGTTGGTTTTGAACTTTTTAAAACTTTTTTTTCTGCAATCAACACCATAACTTGATAGGACAACAGAAGTTTGGAAATAAAATGCTTAGTTTTGCAGTGATCTTATAACATAAACATGTTATAAGATTTTTGAATAAATACTATTTGCTCTACTCTATATTGAGCACTCTTTTAAGAATAGTGTTTTTGGTTATTGGAATTTTATTCCGTCTATACCATTTCTATACTTGTATTATAATTTCCGCTATGAACTCAGCGTGTCGCTCGCCTAGAGGTCCAAGTAAATATTTGAAGAGAGTTCCACAGGCGAGAAGTGCAGGGAAGAAACTCTTAACATAGAACTCACGGTTACAACTAGCAATTTTAACACTAAAATGATGAGGCCTAGTTACCAAGCTAGTTTTCTTCTTATATGTGCATGCCTCCACAGGACTTTCGCAATCATGGATTTCCACAATTACCTAACCTTTGCAGCTCCTAGAAAATTTTGTGTTTCTGTTGCCTCTCTTTAATCCCTGTTCTTCCATTGATTTGCATAAGCTCATTAGGAAGGTTATGCAAAATTTTCCTCTCCCCCCCTCTTGCCTTCAGTATTTTCTGTAAGTGTCAATTTTTCCAATCATCTTTCCTGACTATGTGCCCTAAAAATGTCAACAGTTTCTTTCTGATTTTACGTATAAATATCCTTTTGTGTCTCCACATTCTCTGCACTATACTTAAATTCATGAAGTCGAGATACCAAAGTAACAAACTCATCAGAATAATTGCAATGAAAATATTTATAGAAATGGCACAGGAAAATGACGTTACGACAGCGGGGAAGTGATCGAAGCTGAGTTATCAGACCATGGTCGATTTTGAATAATTCTGCAAAGACGAAGTTTTGATATGCATGCTTTCTCGACAATTACAATCTCCCATAGTGAAAAGACAACCGAACAGTTTACACTTTCGACATTTTTGTTTTACTGTTGATGTAAGAACTGATCTTTATTGACTGTTTGTGACCGCTTGAAACAATAGAAGGAGAAACACAAGAAAGAGAAACACTGAAGTGGAAACGCAAGAATCAAAGATGATTGGAAGAAGGGATTTCTTTTTTATTATTTTTTCTGCTTTTTCTCTTACTTCCTTTTCATCTTCCTTTTCTTTTTTCCTTTTTCTTCCACTTCGGTTATTTTATTTGGTGTTTTCTCCTTGTTCTTTCGTTACTTCTTGTCATCAATATACTTCGTCTTTCTCCGCCAGAATCCTTTTGCACCAACAGACTTTCTTCTTCTTCTTCTTCTTCTTCTTCTTCTTCTTCTTCTTCTTCTTCTTCTTCTCTTTTGTTTTTTGCTTTTAATTTTCTACGTATTCTTTTTACTTCTGCCCGTTTCAATTATTTCTTCTTCCAGTTCTTCTTCAGTTTTACTCATCTTCGTTTGTTTTCTATTGTTTGCTTCTAATTCGTTTATTCTGCTTCTTCTTCTTTCTTTTTCATTTCTTTCCTTCTTTCTTTTTCGACGTCAATCTTTCTTTGCAGTTGTCGTCTTTTTTCTTCTTTTGCCCTTCCTCTTCCACTTTCAGGTGTCTTCTTCAACGTCTTTCTTTGTTTCTTTTTTCTTTGAATTTTCTTTTCTTACGGGAAGTGCTCCTTTCTTTTGGTAATGTTCTGCTTTTAAAAAATCTTTTACTCTTCTTTTCTCGCATTTTCATTCGAAGATTTTTCTTTTTTAACCTTTATTTTCATTCTTATTTTTTCCTTCTTTCTTCCTTTTTTCTTTCTCTTTCCCGTCTCTCCACCCCGTCAAACTTTATTTGGCTTCTTCCATTTCGATGCATTCTAAAATTCACTTCCTCCAAAATTAAACCTTCTTTAGATTTTGCTGTTAAGTTTTCATCATCAATTTCAACAAATTCATTCTTCCTCTTCTTAAAATCTTACTTTGAATTCTTTCTTTGTCTTGTTATAAATATTTCTAATTATTCTTCCCCCAGTTAAAATTTCTCTTTCACTTGCTTCTTTTTATTATTGAACACCATCTTTCAATTTCTTTCTTCCTCTTAATATCTATCTTCCAATTCATTCTTCCTAATTTTAAAATCTTTCTTTTCATTTATTCTTTCTCTTTTTAAAATCTTCTTTCTAAACTTTCTCTTTAACTTCCTTTTTCATCTTAAAACTTTTCTTTCCATTCATTCTCCCTCTTTTCAAAGTTTTATTTTCACTTCTTTGTTTCTTCTTAGGCTAGTTCTTTCACTTCTTTGGTCTTCACCTCTATTGCTTCCTTCACTAGGTAGACGCCCCAATGAAGAGCGTGCGGGTAGCAGTCTCTTCTTATTCCTCTTAAAATGTTTCTTTGAATTCTGTCAGGCTCTTCTTAAAATCGTTCTTCCCGCTCTTTCATTCTCTCCTTCAACAGTTTCTATTCATTCTTCCTCTTCGTAATCTATCTCTCCCTTTCTTTTCTTCTTAAACGCTTCCTTTCATTTTCTTCGTCCTCTTCTGAAAATCCTTCAATTCATTCTTCTTCTTAATATTGTTCTTTCCTTCTTCCTTCCTCTATTTTAACCCTTTCTTTCTGTCCTTTCTTTTTCTTCTTAAACTCTCTCCATTTCTTCTTAACCTCTTTCCTTCGACCCTTCTAAAAAATCATTCAATTTCTTTCTATTCTTAAGATATTTCCTTCTTTTTTCTTCTTCTTTATAAACTCTTTTTTTACTTCCTTCTTCCTCTTCTAAAATCTCTTTCTTTCAATTCTTTCTTACTCTCCTTAAAGATTCTACCGCTTCTCTCACTAGAAGACTCTTCAGTGAAAGACATGCTGGTGATAGTGCCACTCAAATATGGAGTTGCTCTGTCGAGGTGAAAACAAGAAAATTTTCCTAAATTGGCGGAAAATTATTCTCATGAATCGAACCACAAATTTTGCCAAGCAAATTCTAAGACAAAGACATCCGACAAAATTCTTTTTTTAATCAACGTCTAGATAGAAAAATGCCATAGTTTCCCTCAAAATTCAGTGTAAAATGATAATTCTGATGATGAAGAAAATATTTTCCTAAAGCGTTTCACTGTTTTGTCCTGAAGGAGTGTGATCAAACTAGTCAGTCCAGGAAACAGTTGACCTAACACTGGCATTATTGCTCACGGTCCTATCCTTTTAGCTTTGTGTCAAACTGGGTTCAAAGACGTTTTGCCTATGGTCAATGCTGACTTTGCATCTCTTTCAACCTTTTACTGACATAGAAAATTTGGTCTCAACACTCTCAAGTTCTATATCGTCTTTGGATTATAGTGGCAATTCCTCAGTAACGCAACGCTGCATCACAGACTAAATCAACGACAGAATATTTTCTTCTGGTTCCTTTTTTTCTACTCGACTTATAATATTGTAGTAGGCACTATTTGGTGATTAACGAGAGGAAGTGAGATGCAGCAAAAAACGGAAGTCAAGAGGTCAGCCAGCTACCCTTTCACTACCTGCTGAAACCACTACACGTAAAGAAACTGACAGACAGAGGCTCCGATAAGTACACTTTCTTTTTTCATTATTTTTAAAAAAGATATTTTCTGTTAAGGTTCACCAAATACAAAGCTCAAGAGCCACTCAATGTAAAGGATTATTAAATGAGATGTGTGATGTGAACGTAAGAGGAGATAGAAGGAAGTGACCTTTTAAGGATTAGGAGGATAGGTAACGATTGGCTCTTGACTTGAAGAGGTTAAGATTCAAGAGTTCAGAGAAGCTCTTGTGTTCTTCAATGTCGTGACCCTACTAGCTGTTTTCGTGCGTTTTTCGATTTTTAAAAAAATTAAAACTTAAAGAACTGACAGGGTTCCACGACCATCGCGTTCAAAGCATTCTCATTCAGTTCGGGTCGTCAGAGTTCCAACCATTATAATAGGGTTAGTCATATTCGTCAGCCTGCGCAACCTGCAACACGCTACAGCGAAATGAAAAGTTTGCAAGCGGCAGGTGAAATAAAAATTAATAAACATATAATAAAAAAGTAGATATTTTATGGTGACTTTCTAGGCGTAGCTTAGATGTGGCACAAGACCGAAAGTATGGGACAGCCAGTGAGGAATGAATCCACTTTTCAGTTGTAACTGATCTAGCAAGACAAGCTTACTAGCCATTAAACCGTGTCGAAGCGTCCAAGAGATATTTTATAAATGTTCACTGTATTTATTGGATTGAGTCATAAATAATTTCCCTTTTTTCTTTATCAACTTTTCTTCAAAGTATAATTATACTAGAATATTTTGCAACAAGCTAACGCCGGTTGAAATCTTCACAGTATTTAGTATAGTTGAAGTTACCGCTAACAATTTTATAGAGATTTACAAACCCTTCGTTTCGTTCAATTTCGCAAACCAATCGATGAAATTTGAGCTGATTTGGTTGGAAAAATAATTTGAAAAAAACCCTACTTCGCGGTTTAATTATTTCTTTAATATAAATTAGTTTTATAGGACTTCATGTTAAACAATATTCTTTAAGAATATGCCCTTTTTTTTCCTTTTTCACAAAGAAAAATTTTTTTAGGATTTCTTACTCTTGAGCATGCAACATACAATTGACAATTTAAATATTTCTTTCTGGAACCAAATTCCAACTTTTTGAAGTGTCTATCTTTTGATTTGTTTATAGTTCTCGCAAACGCAGGGCGAGCTCGAAACTAGAGTCTAAAAAACATAAAGAAAAGATATGCAAAAAACAATAGTGAATTTTTATTAAATATTAACTCACAAGCCACACTATCGGGTGGCATTTAAGCTAGCTCCAGCGCTGGGCTCTTGATTGGACCTTCATCACAATAGCTAGGGAGAAGTATATGCAATAGACAACAATAAACTACAGAAGAACTCAAAATTGATCGCTGCATTTACGTATTGTATTAATATTTAAGATTTTTATTTCAACGAGGATTTTTTGCAAAACGCTGACGTTGGTTGAAATCCACACAGTATTTAGTATTGTTGAAGTTAACGCTAACATTTTTTAATCGAGATTTACAAACTCTACGTTTCATTCAATTTCGCAAACCAATCGATGATGGATATGCAATGTGATAGGTCCTGACCTGGCATCTTGCCGCCAGTCACTTTCTCACAGACGTGATGTGGCTTCCCTCTATTTTTTTTTCTACAAGTGGCATCTCGGTCCCAGCCTTTCGCTGTCGAAACAGCTTAATGTCACCGCCTCTTCTATTCTAACAGCTTCTTCTCTCGCGCTTCCCGACAGTGTAATTCCCTTCCTCTCCCTTGCTCTCCTGAGAGCTTTAATCTTCAACTATTCAAATGTAATGTCAATCGACATCTTCTGATACCTTGATCTTGATCCCCGTCCTTCTTGTTTTCCTCTTTACACTCATGCTCTGTAACCCCAATGCGTGCTCGTGGCACTCGCGCCTTGCTTGTTGTAAAATGCTTAAAAAGCTGATTTAAAAAATACTTTGACAAAATCCTACTTCTCGTTTTAATAATTCCTTTAATTTAATTTTATAGGACTTTATGGTAAACAATATTTTTTAAGAAAATTTCTTTTTGCCCTTTTTAACAGCGAAGAAAAATTCTTGATTTCTTACTCTTGAGCATGCAACATACAACTGGTTATACTTAAATATTTCAGGGCGAACTGGAGACTGGATTCTCGTATATAAAAATTTAAAGAAAATATATTCAAAAAACAATATTGTATTTTTTATTAAATAAGTATTCATTATTTTAATCATTAAATTGTTTTAAAAATAATGGGGCATTTTCTATATTAAATAATAAAACTTTTAATTTTTCCAAAATAATTGAAAATTTATTGTACTAAACTACCCACCTAGTAAAACCAACAGTAGTTTGTACCCATTTACTTGTTTGCACTTCTCTCCAAAATTTGGTTTCGTTCGGTCAATGTATGGCTATATTAGAGGTTGTGATGGACAGACTAACTGAATCTTGTATATTCACCATTATTTTTGCCACTTATCAGGCATCTCTTCGATACTTTTCAAGTAAAATTCCGCAGGTTTTGTTGCAAAAAAGATTTTGTGACGATCTTTTGAATATGATTTTCCTCAGAAATGGTTTTCTCCATCAAAATGTTTGGCAGCGAACGAAAACATTAATAATCGATTTAGTGAAAGGTTAAATAAATATGGCCTGTCAGATAGAACAGACCGACCGACTTCCAACAATCTCTCCTGTGTTATTCTTTCTATATGCGAACTTGCGTTGTGTTGGAAGAAAACTACAGAACTCCACTGTCACTGCCATGCAAATCTAAAGTAATGTTTCTACTTCAAATTTTTTTCTTAACTGACACATAATATTATTAGGAGTATTTAAAAACAAATCATTTTACCAGAAGCAAAGCGATAATACTACTAAGACGCAATGCTTTCCTGTGAGTGAAATATAATGAGAAGGCTTTAGTGAAGAGAAGTAAGGGGACTTACAATAAAGGAACAAAATTCCGGTAGGAAAAAGAAGGCGATTGGCGTTGTATTTAAATTTTTAAAGGTTTTAGGAGGCATGGAAGCTAAAAGTCGGAAAAGAGTTCCAGAAATGTGCGAAAAAAAGAAATTTATTACAATATAACATATGCTAGCATCTAATTAATTCAATAGCAAAACAGCGAGGGCTAGTTGACAATCTAATAGCACGCTTAAAGGCAGTCAAAGCACAAAGGGGAGAAGCTCATCAAAATAATTTCAATGGAAATATTTATAGAAACGACACAGGGTAGCGACGTTACGGCAACGGGAAAATAATTGAAGTTGAAGAGCCAGATCAGGACCGATAACATAGCAGACTCTTCTTTAAATTTTGTCAAGAATATCAAGGTATATATTAGGAGCATCAGACCAGATATGGCCGCAATATTCCACGCATGGGAGATGGGCTCTAAAGAGAAAAAATATCTGGCAAGAGACACAGTGAAACAACTTTTTCCCGACTGAGCAACTGATGCAAAATAACCACTCTTCTTTATATCAGTAGAAAAGGTTAGGGCAGGAGTAAGCAAAGAGTTTCTTTCCTGGTAGTTAGCATCAGCCATGGTGATTGTTATATAGGAAAAATGTGTCGCTGCCGACACTTGAGTTTGAACATAGATCGCCAGTGAGCAAACACAGGCGATATTATTATTGAATTAAGTAGACCATGTGACCAGGGAGGAAACTCATATATGGAAGGTAGCATGTGTCTAATTGATCTTCATTTCTAGTCTATCCTCTGTTTCTATTTGGATCAGTATTTCTAGTTTATCCTCTATACTATACGGACCACAATTCTCTACTCTATTCACTATACTACTCCTCTATTTGGATCACTATTCGGTGGTTACTATTCGAGTGAGTATTATCGAGCAAGTACTATTAGTGCGATTGTTATTCTATGATGTCTAACACCAGTATTGTTCAAAGGCGTACTATAGTTGTATCTGCGATTGCAAAGTCTCTACTACAACGAGCATTACGAAAGTGACAACGAGTATTCGTTGACATCGCAAAAGTGTCAAACAGATGTTCGTTGACATTATAAAACTGATGAAAGGCAGAAAAGGTTTTCTATGGTGATGAAATTAAAAGTTTTATTTTGTTGGTTCCCAAAAAGCGGAAATTACTTATGACTCTACCTAATCGTTTTAGTCTGATATTCCAATAAGCATTCTGTAACCCAAGCTTTGACGATATCTGTAATGGTGGGGGGTTTGATTTTAACGTTTGTAGGCATTTTTGCCCGATTCTGTTTTTGTTATCAATTAAGATCAATTGAAAATAGTGGTTCCGAAACGTAAAGAATTTCCATAGGTGTTGTTCATTTTTTGCGATCAGCGAGGGATTTCTAAATTTGCAATCCGTTGATAGTGATTTCTTTTCTTTAGGCAGCTTTATCAACGTAACAGTGACATCAAGTTATGTGGCATTGCTACATTATCTTATGTGTTCGGATATGTGGTTGTAGGTTCGGTATTCAAGCACTAACGTGTTTGTACGATTGTTGATCGTCGTAATGTCTCAAAAGAGGGTTTTTCAACCGTTGTCGCTGTTTGGAAATGGACAGAATCGGTTAATTTTTACAAAGCTTTTTTGATAGCCAATATGCTACAGTTGGCCAGCCTCGGTGCAGAAAATCAAGTTAGATATCTTTTCACCGGGAGAATGATTTCTTCTAGTTGTGGCAAACAGCATAACGCATATAGTCTAGATCGACTGATTTTATTGTCATTTGTAGGGAAACTTAGATACCTACTTGTCAGTGAAGGAGAGAGAAAGAAAGGAAGTCGGTAAGAGAGTAATTTTCATTTCTTATCGATACATTCCAGCAGTTTCTGGCCCTCGTGTTTTTAAGAGACAGAAATTCATACAAAACTTTTGAGACTGAACAAGGAAATACCCTCTCTCTCTTGTTAATTTCTAATTCGTCAATTCACGGCCGACAGAATAGACACTCAAACCTGCCTTATCGTTCCTCTTCAACTTATTTATGGCTTATGCCAATCCACGTATCGGGACATGCGATCGTCAACTGAATGTATCATATATATATTTCTTTCTTTTTATGTTCCATGTCGTTTCAGGACGTAGGCGATCATGGCTCTCCACCCCCTTCTATCCCTTGCAACTCTCAACAAGTTCCTTCCCTCTGCTTCCTCCCTCAGACCACGTGCTGTCATCCACTTGCTTAAGTCCGCCAGGTATGTCACGCATTGTTTTCTTTGTCTCTCTTTCCCTCTAGTCGACCCGTGAGTATCAGATTCTCCAGGCCCTCCTTCCTCATTATGTGTCCCAGAAACTTCAGCTGCCTTATCCTGATGTTAATTATAAGCCTCATCCATTTTTGCAACCTAAGACGTCATCGCTGCTCACACGCTCGACCCATGATATCCTTAGCATCCTTCTGTAGAACCGCATCTCCGTCTCCTCGAGCCGCTTCTTCATCTTTGAGGAAATCGTCCAACATTCGATGTCCGGTAAAAGTTCAGTATTCTTTTCTTTGTTACCAAAGATATCCTCCTGTCCCGCAATACACGGCCTGCTTTTAGAATGCTTCCTTGCCCATCCCAATACCTCTAGGGGTCTCAGTGTCGCACTTACCGTCCTCGGATATTTAAACTTCTGCGGCTGCTTGTTTCTAGTGTTCCTCACCTGCAAATCGCATTTGGGGTTCATCCTTTTACGGATGTCCATGCATTATGTCTTCTTGTAATTTATGCTAAGTCCCTTCTTATTACTCTTCATCGCTACCTTCTGTAGGGGATTTTGTAGTTTCTTTTCCGTGTCCGCAATCAGTTCTGTGTCATCTGCATATCTTATGTTGTTAAAATTGTGAACGCCAATATTGTATTTCAGAAATATAATATATTCCCCACAACCTCTGTGACGGTTGTGATTTTTCCTTCCCCTAATCTTTAAACTTAACTGTACAAAGATCTTCTGGAATGTTCATAGGCTGCTCAAGATATAAAAGTAAGTAGACACACCATTTGGTAGACGAAAAGTTATATAAGTGTACCAGAATACAACAGCTGGCCGACAAGCTGTTTTGTTTACTTGCATTTATATTTTGGTCAGCCGATGACCATTCCAGCCGACCCATGTATTATATAAATACTATAGAAGTGATATAGATTTCATACATGCCTTTTGATTTCAGCTGCATGACCTTATGAAAAATATCTGTTGGGTAGCAATTGACAAGCTCTTGCCAGCTAATGGCTTTCTCTATGGTCCACTTAAAGTAATGTATTTGTTACAGAGATGATTAAACCTAATAACTACCTGGATTCCTTCCACTGAGACATTATTAGCAAACTGATCTCACAGATCACCTCGAATGACATTTCATAGAAGTAAGACTCATCCTCTACAGAATGCTTGCCTTCGGGATAGATTCTTTCAGAATTAAGCACAAATCAGACCAACATTTACCATATGCCTCAAATATCAAAGAGGCCAATGTATAGTTTATGGCTCATGTATAAACCTAAGCAGTTCTTTTGTCTGAAATATAAACTGAACCAATGCTTACCTTTTGCAGGTTAAGTCAAAGCCAGAAAATATTTTTAGATTTTAAGAATATTTTTATAAATAATAATGATTTAGACATACGTGTCTTACTAAATAACCCATAGCTAGGAAGAGACGCGGTAGATTCATACAATTCCAAATGCTATTTGCATCTAAGTGAATATAACGAAATTAACTGAAATTAGAACTCGGCTCCCCGATTAACAATTCCGAGTCGTTATCTATTACACCACCCGCACGGTTACAGCACCTTGTTTTCCGTAGCAGTCACTCATCTAGGTACTGACCAGGCTCGACTTTTCTTAACGTCAAAGATCGTACGGGAACTGGTATTTCAACGTAGTCGTAAGCCTACTATTTTGACTCAATTATAATCCGGACTATAGTCTCATGTATAAACGGTAAAAAAGTTTAGCATTTGACTCAAAAAGCATTGCTCTTGTTTATACAAACAAGAGCAATGCATAAGTTTCGGTTCAAATATAAAGCAAACACCGTTTTAAGTATAAATCTGACTTATATATACCATTTGACTCACGTATGTTTTTCACTTTTTGTCGCAAGTATTAACCCAACCAATTTTGTCCTTTTCGCTTAAATCTAATAAGTAATAGATTTCAGTATTAGACAACACAGCATGTGTTGTTATATCGTTAAATTAAACAGACTAGCAAAGAATAATTATGAAACAATGAAAAAATGCACATTGGAAGGGTAGTTAATTATATCCACCAACGTCGTAACCTTGTGCCAGACGTGCATTCCAATTAATATATATTTGCTCAGAGCGCCTAGTGAGGGTAGTTAATTTACTGTCTCTTTACTCTTCACGCTTGCGACCTTGTGCCAGATGTGGTTAAACACTGCAGAGTAAGCGTTAGGCCATAAATCTACTAAGCGAAAATCTTAATATTTGGTATCTTAAACTAAACATTTGCAAACATTTACAACGCCAATCAAATCAATGAAATTTCTGCTACAGTCACAGAGAGGATAATTATACCCTCGGAACATTAGGGATTTTACAAGTACATGACTTACCGCTCGTGGGGTAGGCTGCTATATTCTCTCTCCAAGGCGAGTTTGTGGTAACGAGTCTGAACGGTTCCTGTACTGGAGATGGAAATGACTATTTCAGTTATATTCTGTGATAAAGTTTATAACACATGCATAGCCATCACAAGTATAGCCACTCATACACTCATCTGCAAAATATGGCGGGGAAAATGGCAAGGAAAAAATAAAAATGGCGGGGAAAATCTATTTGATGCGAACCATGCACTATACTTTAAAAAAAGTAGTGGATCAGTTCAGATACAGTTACTGGGGTTCAATAATTCATCATAATGAACCAAACAACCATTATAACCTAAATAACTCTGGTTAGCAAAGAAAATTGATCAGTGAATGTCTGCGCATGCGTGTACACAATAGTTTCTGAAGATGATACGGCAACCTAAAGAAAAAAAAACAAAAACGATCGATGATTCCCTGCAGTGATAAAAGATTGAAACATACTAAGACCAAGATTTATAGATTAATTTTTCCTGATATATATATATATATATATATATATATATATATATATATATATATATATATATATATATTAATCACTTAACCCCAGGCAAGACGATAATGACACTAAGATGCAAGGGGCTACTGGTAGTGAAAGAGAATGGAAAGACTTTAGAAAGAACCGGAAATCTAATTCTGAACAGTAAACAAGAGATAAACCTATACACCGGTTCAAAAGATTGGGGAGGGGAGTAAACCAGTTAATAAGAGCACTTATGTACTATTATTAATATTCACACACACACACACACACACACACCAACACATATATATATATTCTTGCCTTCCTCTTTAGCTTACGATTATAGATTTAACAAAACATGGCTAGGAAATTGATGGAGATTCACGCGTTTAAAGTCTTCATTTTTTTGTAAACAAACTCCTCAATATTTAAAAAGTAAATCAACAATAATTAATACAGATCTATCAAATCTATCTATTTATCTATGTTTCTACACACACGCACGCCCCCATACAAACATACAGACACACACACACACACACACACACATATATATATATATACATATATATATATATATATATATATATATATATATATATATGTTAGTTATATTGTTTACATTTGCTGTATTCATTGGGTTAGAGAAAAATGTTTGTAGTTACTGGCTTGACTATATACAACCCACCACACGGCGAAACATATCATTATTGTCTAATATTTTTATTATTCCTCCGTTATGTTTTTATATATATATATATATATATATATATATATATATATATATATATAGATAGATAGATAGATAGATAGATATGAATATTTAAAAAGGGTATATAATTTCTATATCTCAGAACAATTTTAGGAAAATCTGTTTCAAAGTGAATTTTTTTTGTGTGTTACGCATTTTGTCCGTAATGATTTCATTGGACTAAAGTGATATTTACGTTGATGTGATTAGTCCTGCGGACGATAGAAGAGGAATGCTGAAATTTTAACTTATTTTTTTTAATATCTGGCCCATTTCAATCATTTTTTTTCTTTTTGTTTATATTTTTATCACTTTTTTATCACATTGTAATAATAGAAAATCTGCCAAAAATGGTGAAGGAATCTGAACTTGAATTTCCTGTAGATAATCTCGACATCAAAGCATTTTCTATACTTTTGCGACTTAATAAATTGCTTTCACTTTTAATTTATGCATCATTTTTTCAATCCAAATTATGTTCAGACTAATTACGGTGTGCGACTAAGGCACCGAGGGCGATGTTTTATAAAAGCACCATTTTGCGTTTACATAATCTTTTATCTAAATTCTTTGAGATTTCTCCTATGTATTCCTTATGGCGATCATTACTCACCTCAAGTTTTAGCTTATTATTTTGTTTTGTATTAATTAAGTCTTCTATCGTTTTAGACGTAATTGTAACAAAATTTATATTAAACTTGTAGTTGTTGGAATTGCTGCATAGTACAATATATTTTGTTTTTTCCACTTTTTCAAAGATTTTCGTAATACATACATACATACATACATGCACGCACGCACACACACACACACACACACATATATATATATATATATATATATATATATATATATATATATATATATATTCACACACACCGGTGTGTGCAATTATTTCTTAAAATAAGATTTCTCGAACATTCAGGTCGGTAGACGAAAATAAATAAATGTAATATTAAAATACGACTATCCACTAAAAATAACGTTCAAAGTGATAAAAAATCTCTCTGATTAATAAAAAAAAATATATCCATTGTAAAATACTATTTTTTTACATTTGGATACGAAACTCAAGATGTAAAAAATTCGAGAGATACAATGACGTTAAAAATTTCCCTTGAAGTCACTAAATTTAGCCTCGTCTGACAGACTTCTCTTCAGGGACAAGTTTTTAAGGCGTGCCGGACTTAACAGTAGCTTCCTCTGCCCTGGTGAGAGTTCAGTTAAAGATACCCGGGATATCTTGAAGAGGCATGGCATGTGGAAATAAAACAATCTACACCGGTGGACGAAATAACGGGTTCAGTTCGAAATTCCAATCACCTGAAGAAGGCCGGAGCGTACGAAGAGTCGCGAATATGGTAACAAAGATGAGGGCAACAATCCGTACAATGTAAATAATTTATATATATATAAATATAAAAGTGAACATAGAAGTCAACACTTAGAGGCAACAATCTGTTTCATGCTAGACTCAATCGTCTGGCCACGGGTGCTGTTATTTTTCACGGCTATTTATATATACGGGTCAGTGGTGCATTGTGGGTAGTCTATTTTGGCAGTTATTTTACTGGAGTTCGCTTATTTGTTTATTTATTTATTTGGGTTAAATTATTTTGCTTGTTTTTATTTATTTTTTTTTATTTTTATTTCTAATCTTATATATTTATTTATTTATTTATTATTATTCGGTGTTTTATTAACGTAGTAAAAATTTGTTTATATCGCTTATTTAATAGTTTTGCTTTGGTTTGGGAAGATAAAGCTATTTATTCACTTTTGGGGTTGATTATTGTAGTTTATTCTAAATATTATTTTGGTGGGAGCAGTTTTTAATTTGTTTATTACTTCATGTATTTATTTGGATTGTTTATCTTTATTTGTTTTTTCTATCGGCTACTTTATCGAGATCGGTTTGTTAGTTTATTTATTTTAATGAATTTAGATTAATTTATTTTACTTGTTTTTTATTTATTATACTGTATATTTTTATTTACACTTTTCGGTTTTCGATTTTTAAGTAACGTAGTATTTATTTTTCTTTTATCGTTATATAACAGTTATAGCTATCTTTTCGTCGGATTTTTGGTTTGATTTTTATAGTCTGACTAATATTTTGGTGATACTGGCTTGTTAATTTGTTTATTATTATTACTTTATTTATTTGATTTCATTGATTTTGTTTTTTATTTTTTATTTAATTATTGTATTTCGTCTATTCTAACGGGTGTGATTTGGTAATTTGTTTGGGTTAATTTATGCTGTTTATTTTATTGTCATTTTGTTTATTTTATTTATTTTTTTATTTTATTTTATTTTTTCAGTTTTCGATTTTTAAGTAACGTAGTAAAAATTTGTTTTCATGTCTGCATTTCCTTCAAAACTCTCAAATGCCTGAAATAGTTTGATTATAATTTAAGATTTCTGATTTTCCAAAAAAATAATAGTTAATTTCCCATTAATGAGGAAAGTTTTTGTTTAGAACAGAAAAAATGCAAAATTTTCACTATTTTTTTAATATTTTACCCCCTGAAATAAAAATTTGAGTCATTTACACCAGCCAATTTTACTTTTAAATGAAAGAATATATCCTTTGCTTTCAGAAAATACCTAGTTTCATGGAGTTCAGATCAAAAGTTTTCTTTGATATTTGTTTAGATGATGATAAAACAGTCAGTTTTCAATATTTTACCCTTATGAAAGTATGAAAATCCATTTTTTCAGAGAAAATAAGCTGTGAGAAAATGACTTTTACCATTTTTGTGATGATTTTTACTTGGGATAGAAAACATTTACCATAGCAAACCTGAATTGACTTTATTTAAGTTCAGTGGGGCTATAGGAAGCCACAAACAGCTGTGCCACACAAGGGACATGCTGAAGGGTTGACCGTCATATGGCCTGATGTATTGGCCCGAGATTTAGTGTTGGTTTTTAATTCTCTCAGATGGTTGAGACAATTCTTTTCAAAGTTAGTTATACGTCGGTGGCAGATGTTTTTCCAATTTACTCGGTTTTCAACAGCGATTTCGAATTCCTCTATAGGAACGT